TTCATTCATCCATCCATTCAACTATGCATTCATCCATCCATTCATTTGTTCATCCATTCACTTCATTATCCAGCCATCCATCCATCCATTCATTCATCCACCCATCCATTCGCTTCATTCATTCATTCATTCATTCATTCATTCAATTATTCATTCATTCATGCACCCACCCATAAATGACTAAAATGTAAAAATGTAATATTCAGTCATAAATGACTAAAATTTAAATGTACCCATCCATTAAACTATGCATGCATCCGTTCATCCATCCATTCATTGAATTAACCACCCATGCATCTATCTATTCATTCATTCATCCACCATCCATCCCCCTATCCATTCATTCATCCACCCATCTATCCAACTATTCATTCATTCATTCATGTATCCATCCATCCAACTATGCATTCATCCATCCATCTACTCATTCAATTATCCACATCCATCCATCAAACTATGCATTTATTCATTCATTTATTCATCCATCAACTCATTCATTCATTCAATCATCCACCCACCCATCCATCCATCCAACTATGCATTAATTCATTCATTCAACCATCCACCCATTTATTCATTCAGCCATGCGTCCAACTATGCATTCATCCATCTATTAATTTTTTCATCCATTAATATTTTTCATTAATTCATTCATTCACCCACCCACCCATTCAACTATGCATTTATCCATCCATCTATACATCCATCCACTCATTCATTCATCCATCCATTCACTCATTAATTAATTCAGTCATCCATTCATCCACCCACCCATCCATCCAACTATGCATTAATTCATTCATCCATCCATCTATCCAGCCATCCATCCATCCATCCATCCATCCATCCAGCCATCCATCCATCCATTCATTTTGTTTATAATAATAATAATAATTATTATTATTATTATTATTATTATTATTATTATTATTATGATTATTATTGTCCCAGTGAACAGTTTCTAATATTATAACGGATTAAGTAGTCAGTAATATTTAATAGCAGACAAATATTTTGAAAATCTACAGTAGGATGGATTGTACTGTATATTTGGTATGCAACAGATGTGTTGTATTTGTGTGTCGTGCTTTTTTATAGGGCCCAGAATTGATAATGGCGCACCTGTTTTTAAGCAAATAAAAATTATGAAAGAAAAGCATAAAAGATAAAGCACAAAATTATCAAACCATTGTTCTGTACAACTAAGTTGCATCAGTTAAATTTATTGGATGACTTGGATGGGCTCCTGAAAAAGACAGTCCACTTGAAGTTGTCAATTCAACAAGCCGTCTGAAAGATAATGCCTTTTTTAGACACTCCTTTAAGATAAAGGCCATTTGGCACCAACAGAAACAGCTTACAATACAGTAGACACATGCTCAATGTGACAACTGTAGAGTGCTGTTCTTCATCATACAAAAGCTCTTCATCAAAACTCTATTTGCTTGTTGAGTATTTATTTATATATGTTAATTTGCTTCACATGACAGTTTATTCTGTGTTCGTGTTTATAGATGTTTATCATGAAGCCACACAAATACCAACGGATTGCTCTCAGGATTTACTTGGTAACGTATTGCAATCGTAAATTCAGTCTGAACATATGGACTAGCAATTCTGTGATAAGTCACTTCTGCCAAAAGCGTAACCTGAAAGCGGCATTTACTGCATCTCAGCACAAAGACATACTTATTAGAAGACAGATGGTTCTGTCCTCCAGCCACTGAGACGATGAGCATTTATCAGTCCTCGACAGTCAAGAACACACTCAGGAATGAGGGGGAAAAGTCATATGAACGGCATTTCGCTGTCAAAAACAACTCAAGATCAAAGTGTGTGCCTTCCAACCCTATATTCAATAAAAAAAGCTCCTATTTCAATAAATGAAATGCTTAGATTCAGGCAAAGTACAGAAAACTCATCTTTATTCAATAAAAGCTAATGAAGTGAACTAAACAAGCTCATGGCATATGGTCAGCATGCCTGCTAGCAACACCAGATTGAGCCTGGTTTATATTCACCGCTGTTAATGAATACAGTTAAAGGGACTTTGCTCTGCCTTAACATGCAAGCATACATTGAGGCATCCGGTTTACTGGTGATGTATGAATAGCTTAACAACCTAGCCACTAACTGCTGGTGTGCATTAGAGAAGATCAATGTGAGGAGGTGTTTTACCCATATTTGACACATAACAATTCTAATACCCCACTTAAATGCAGTTGAAGGAAGAATGTGGGGAATTTTTGTATGGTGAACTCTTTGACATTCTCTCACAGATTTATTCTCCTCAGTTCACTAACCACATTTAGGATTTGCATAACACAGGGAGGAGTCGCAGTACAAATCATACTGTACCTCATAGCCTAACCTTGATTCAAATGTATTTTTTTCATGCAGATACCAATTTACATGACTGTAAAATTAAATGTACTCCACTGATTAAGTTATGAAGAAAGTGTGCTATTGATGCTGGATGTATTCAGTGCTTCACAAGTTGGCAAAGATTGACGGTTCCCACACTTTCAGACCAATGAACGTAGAGGGTATGTTCAGGCAGTCTTGATTACTAGATATGGATTTTATATCACTGCAATTAACAGACAATCCTCATGTGGCTAAACCTGACATTTTAAGTGCACAATTCTTGTTTTTAATTTCAAAATATGAGTGTGTTACTTAAAGGAAAAATACTATATGACATCAAATTAATGGAGGCTTAAAGGGATAGTTCACACAAAAAACTGAGGTAACACTTTATTTTGATGGTCCCTATTGCATGTTTTGTTGACAAAGTTGCATTGCAACTACATGCCAATTACTTCTCATTTGAGAATTTGTAGACTGTCTGCTTAATATCTGCTGATACTGCTCCTTTAACAGCCATTTAATTGACTATAAGAAACTTTGCAAATACATGCCAACTTACTCTAACCCTAACCCCAACCTAACAGTCTACTTATAATCTAATTAGAATTAGCTGGCATGTAGATGCATTGTGGCTGAAATTTAACAAAATGCCTTAAAGGGACCATCACAATAAAGTGATCCAAAATTTGATCTTGCAGTTAAACAGTGATAAACACTGATAATTTTGTCATTATTAACTCAACTTTTACCACGAACATATATATTTTTTGTTGAACACTAAATGAGTAATTTTGGAAAATGGAAACTAGTTGACTATGACTATGGAAGTCAATAGTTACTTGTTTCAAACATTCTTCAAACTATCTTTTTCTATGTTCAACAAAGCTCATAAAGGTTTAGAAACACACACACACACACACACACACACATATATATATATATATATATTGTATAAATATATATTGTATGTATATATATATATATATATATATATATATATATATATATATATATATATATATATATATATATATATATATATATACATGGGCACTGGTGGAAGGCGTGCGTTGGAGTGCCTTAGTGCTTCCACCTGTGACGGTATACAGCCATATCGCACTGCTATGAGTGTGATATTGCGTTTATACAACAGTTTGATAATTTTAAAGTTTAGATCTTTAGAGTCTGCATTTTGCTGCATATATATATATATATATATATATATACATATATATATATATATATATATATATATATATATATATATATATATATATATATAATGTGTGTGTGTATATATATGTATGTGTGTGTGTGTGTGTGTGTGTGTGTGTGTGTGTGTGTGTGTGTGTGTATATATAAATATTATTTATTTATTTATTTTTTTTTTTTGAGAAAATTGTAGTTAAAATGTTCCAACTGACCTGGGCATTATTCGAAACATATTTACTTAGTTTTTGAAATGTTGTCAGGGGTTTTGTTGTAGTTATTGTCTTTATATTGGAGTTTATTCATTTATTAATTTATTTATCTACTTTTTTCTACTTTTTTAAATCTTTTTTTTAAGTTGTCATTATTATTTATTTATTATTATGGTTTATCTATTTTTTTAAATCTATGTTTATTTTTTTGTGAATGTAAATGTTATTTGTATACTATCTTTATAAAACGTTTAATAAAAAACACTGTTTAAAAAAAAGACCCTGGTGATTAGCTAAACGAAAATCAAAGGCTAGCAAATGGCTAGTCAACAAACAATCAAGACAAAACATAAGTATTACCTAAGGCTTCAGACAATACACTGAGGTCTGTTAAAAGATATTGAAACACTCTGACCCAAAACTGATCATTAACTCACCCTTAACATGTCACAAACATGTTTGAGTTTCTTACAAAGAAGCTTATAAAGGTTTAGAACTATTTCAGGGTGAGTAAATGGTAAGTAAACTTTCATTCTTGGTTGAACTATCTCTTTAATTTACCTCAGGCTAACCAAGATGTAGGTGATTTTTTTGGGAAGAACATAAAGAAAATTTGAAACTAGTGATTAGCTGAATGAAAGTCATGGCTACCAAATGGCTAGTCAAAAAACAAAGACACAACAAAATGATTTGATGACCTAAGGCTTCAGACAAAACACTGAGGTCTATTAAAAAAACGATCCGTCTATGCAAGCAACACTTTATCTTACTGTACATCTTAGATGGCCTTGAGTAAGAGCAATGAACTGTAATTAGCTAAACACGTTATTTGGCCACTATTTTGTATAATAATAATAATAATAAAACATTTCCTGAAAAGCACAGTCCATACCGTGGGAACTGAAAGACCCATATTGTTGAAACAAACACATAAACATGCAAAGACTTGATTAAGTAGTGCCATGCAGCCGTCCTTCACACTCTCATGCAGTTTTGACAAGCATGCCGAGTGAATGCGTTAAAACACATCTCCCCACCACAGAGTGCTTACAACTGTTGAGGACCACACAACACTAACAGACACAAACAAAAGCCCTGGTCAGGACCGGTGAACGACAAACAGACAGACAGACAGGTGGCACTGGTTGAAAATGCATCTCTCTTTCTGCTGGAGCGAGACAGAGAGATGGCATTCTAACCATCCATTACCTTTCAGGTTACTAACTGACAAGCACCGATACCCATCATGCTTCTCTTCAGGCAGAGATTTGCACTCCACAGGGAGGCGGCCCTCGTCCAGGAGTGTCCAGCAACTGTCCTGCAGGACCTCACAAGAACTGCGACAGGGCAGCAGAGATCCAGAGTGGCCACACCGCGGGGTCAACAGCAGGCAGAAAAACCATTCCAAACTATGATGACAGCCTGACCTCAAAAGCCATGCCCATTCGGTCAAAACCATCCGAACTTCCTCCACGCTGCTTTGATTTAGAAAATTTGGCACAGAGAAACTCTCCACTCCCCTTCTGGTGCAAAACGGCAAACCAGAATCGACCGGCAAGCAGCGCAGGGGTTCGAAGGATGCTGGCATGCTGGCTATTAAAAATTGGCTTTCAATGGTTAGTGCATTATCTGAGACAGCGTATTCAGAGGAATACAACGTCGTGTTAGCATGCTCTGCAAAATTACTCTCATTTACATTATTTTTAGCAGTAATATTTGTGAAAGAAACATTAACGCCTTCATTAAATCGACTGTTTGCTGGGTCAAGTCCATCCGTCTGGTCCACTTTGGTCACTTGATTATGCAAACTAGAATTGTCATCAATAATACCCCAAATTTTGTCGGATGATGTTAAATATTCATGCTGTCTTTCAAAACTGGATGATCCAGATCCGGATCCGGACTCAATCCCCAATCCAGACCTGGATCTGACCTCCGGTTCCCCTTCAAAACTGACCTCTTTCGCGACCTCTTCAGTTACAGAAGCACTTGTACCTGTTGTTCTGGATGGTTCTGTCCTCGGCAGGGATGTGGGCCCTACGGTGGTCAGGTATGCTGGTGTCTGCACGCCCTTCTCAATTTCCTTGGAGTCATCAAACCAGAACCAGCCATGTGTGTGGCGTATCCTCACGCATGCCAAAATAAAGAGGCACAGCCAAAACCTGAGTTCAGCCATCATGTTCACTTGCAGTCATTCAGGAGTACAGACAGACTCGTCCCTGGCTCACCGTAAAGTCACCACAATCAGCCCACAAGCCAGGCAGGGAAAAGTTTAGAGGAGGAGTAACATATTTAAAAGAGAGAGCGGGGGGCTGCTTCGTCATTGGCCAGGCTTGGGACCTTTTTCAACCCCCGTAAGCTCCATCTCCCCTTTGTCCATGTGAAAGAGTGTCTCTGCTGATAGATATTCTTACCAAAAATGCCTGCAAGGCGCCCTTTTGTGTACGCCGGTGCTTCTAAATGCCCTCGCTGATGGAATTAAGAGTTGTTTCAACTTACTTTTACAGCCTTTATATAGGGGCGCGCAAATTCCACAGTTAACATGAATCCCCTGTTGCACAGAAACAAGCTGCTCAAGTACTCAAAACAACTCTTCAATGCAGGATGTTACAGTATACTATACAGTACTGTAGGTGTTAATTTAGATAAAAAAAATAATACTTGATTTTAATTTTTTGTAGAAATTAAATCATTGTTTTAAGGTTGTTATTAGAGTATGAGTTAGATATTGTATGAAGCAACAAAGTCATTTTAGGACAGTAAGATATTGTAGAAGGTTCTAGTTTTAGGCATGAAGCATTTATTAAAGGGGTCAATCACTCAAAAATAAAAATTGGATGAAAAGTGGTTCTATGCCTTTATGAATATCCTTTTCCTGTTGAACACAATAGACGGTTGAAAATGTTGGAAACGTCTATCCAATGACTTCCGTATAGGAAGAACAAATACTTTAGAAGTCAATAGTTACGAGTTTCTAACATTAAAAAAACGTATTTTGTATTGAAAAGAAAAACGAAACTCAAACAGTGAGTGAATTATGAAGAATTTTCATTGGAAGTATCCCTTTAAATACAATAAAAGTATTACAAATAAAGGTATTAAAATCAATATAACGTATGTGAGTTTCAGTATAACCTATATACCATATGTAATTACAAAGAAATCTCATTTACTTTAAGTAGTTCATGAAATCCTAAAGAGACACTTCATTATCACCTTATTTTACAATATCTGTTATACAGAGCAACATACGCCAGTATGAGAACAGTAAGATATTAGATTAAAAGACTACAAACTCTTCTACGCCGTAATAAAACAAAATGTTTCAAAATTGTTCGTCATTTTCTGATTTTATTCATCAAAATATGTGGAAAATGCATCATGGATTCCATAAAAACAATGAAACAGCAACTTTTAATAATAAAAATAATGTTATTTTCTGAATTTTCAACATTCTGAGAGATTTAAAATGTCCTAAATCATTTTATAACTACATTAGTGTATGGTTCAAACAGACGAAAAATAGCCAGCTTTGGGATAACCGTCTAAGAACTCACTCACCTCCAGAAGAAGGGGCTGAAACCAACCCTCTTCCAGTCTGTATAAATCTTACACTTTCTGGCTCAAACTCAGTTAGTTTTGAATGAGTCCACCTTCTGCTCTGAGACACAGAAACAGAGAAAACCGAAGCTTGTGCACTTGTACAGACAAGCCTAAGAAAGCTGGTGACAGAGACCCTCTAAATTCTAACTTACACTTTATGAGGACTGTCAAAACCAGGGCTATTCTGTCTTAAAAAATGTACAAATATATGAGCACACGTGGAAGCAATCTTGTGCATCAGCTGGTACTTTGTAAAAAAGTATCAATATAATTCTTTTTTATTAATACAATTTAATTTCATACACATTTTTGGATTAATATTAACACTATTTTGCCTTTCTCCTTAATACTTTTTACAATTAATTTCATGCTTAATTTAAAGTTTCTGTCTAATTATCTGTTTTGACTATTATTTTTTTTTAATTATAGAATTATTTAGACTTTTTTAATTCATAATATTCACGTTTGGGAACTATCTAAAATAAATAAGTGCATTTATATTTTATTATTTTACTTAAATTTTAATTTACCAAAATTTTTTAAGTTTAATAAGTACAATTTTTCTTGTATTATAGTATTTTTTTAAACACATTTGATATATTAAATACTCTTATATATAATGAAAAATTGTTAACTAAATTCATGTGGCACTTAATATGGCCTGCATCATGACATCAAATATTGACAAAATGTAATTATTATTATTATTATTATTATTATACCACAAACACTTCAATACAAAAATCTTTATTTGAAATTTCTTAGGGCGAAGCAGTGGCGCAGTAGGTAGTGCTTTCGCCTCAAAGCTAGAAGGTTGCTGGGTTGCTGGTTCGAGCCTCAGCTTAGTTGGTGTTTCTATGTGGAGTTTGCTTGTTCTCCCTGTGTTCGTGTGGGTTTTCTCCGGGTGCTCCAGTATCCCCCACAGTCCAAAGACATGCGGTACAGGTGAATTGGGTAGGCTAAATTGTCCGTAGTGTATGAGTGTGTGTGGATGTTTCCCAGAGATGGGTTGCGGCTGGAAGGGTATCCGCTGCATAAAAACTTGCTGGATAAGTTAGCGGTTCATTCCGCTGTGGCGACCCCGGATTAATAAAGTGACTAAGCCAACAAGAAAATGAATGAATGAATGAAATTTCATTTGCACCAGTATTAGCCAAAGGACACAAAGTATTATCACCCTCAGCACTGACAGAGCATTTAAGATGAGCAATAATTACTCTACAGGGATTTGATGTAAAGTAGATAAAAAGCTGAAGCTGTGGATTTGGTTCAATGAAGATTTTAATGTTCTCTTCCTAAACAGCAGGATAAAATGAATCATGCAGATATTTCAGAAAAACCCACAACGCCTGCCAAAGCCCTTGAGGCACAATGGAGAAGTCAAGCTCTCAGAACAATCCATCAGGAGACACAGCCAATTCTCTTTATCTGCCCACAGTCAGTGTGGGAATGACATTAACAAACCAGTGGACATTGCTCAGCCAACAACACACTGACTCAACTAGTGTGGACTCAGCTTTCGATTTAAAGTAAACTGCTGAATGAATTCTCAAAACCATAAGAGATGCCTTGTAGTCTTCTGTACTGCCTATTCGCTTAAGTCGTGACGTATGGAATACTGTTTCCGGGTCCAAGCCGCTACTCATTTGAATTGAGAAAATATTAATTTACGAACACTTTATAGTCATATCACACATTTAAGTTAATTTCATATAAAATCAGGGTGTACACATCGATACACATCACCGACACCAATTTTTTAAATAATTTATCAAAAAATTAATCACATCCAGGCCATCGGATATTAGGCATATATTTATTTATTGCGACTGTAATTTTCGAAAGTATTACAGCACTATTTGAATGTTTATTTTTAGCATTAGATGAGCCTCCCCAAACAGTTTGATATGGTGCTTGGAGCCGCTTCGTGTGACTTCACACTTTACAAGCGGATGTAGTAAATTGCTTTCTAAAATGACATCTCCCCTGAAATACAACCTCATAAGGGACTAATCGAGAACAATGTAATTCGACTTAGGTGTATTTGAATTGTACTTTTAAAGTCTGCATGAACTGTAAATTACTGAGACTTTTATGAATGGAATATTGAGTAGGCCGTGGGGCTTTCTTTTTGCACATATTTCTATCATAGTAGACTAAAGGTAAAACGGGCACGGTTAAGAATATTGAGGATAAATCGGTCAACTGACATCAAGAAAGAAGAACCACTACTCCAAATGTGGAAACAAATGCTCAGATTTTGATTAAAGTTTATGAAAACGAAGATTTTTGTTTAAGGATTAACTTGAGCAAATAAATTATTCACCAAAAAAATAAAAAACAATGTGCTCCAGCAAAATAAACATTGGAAAAATTCACACAGTCTATAAGTAGGTGGTACTTTGGATGAAGAAACTGTTAAACAGATTCTATTCAATTTTTTCTATTTTCTTTTGGCTATAAATGAAATCTGGACATATTATACAACCACCATAATGACATGGAAAATGAAAGAGACTGTGGTTAACATGTTTTTGCTGGGTAACCTAAAGCAAATTTTTATGATGTAAATATAAGAATAATTTAAAAATTGTTAATAATATATACACAATGAAGATTTCTTGCACTTTTTCCCCTTCTTTTCATTTATGAAAATTATGTATAGATGAGAACATAAAATTTACAAGTTAACATAATTTCATCCTACTTTTTGGCAAAATAACCACTAGAAACTGCATTAGAAAAATCACAAAGCTTTTTTTGTCCAAGGATGTTTCTCTAAATAAAACAGATATATTTTTCTCAATAATTGTGAACTGAATTTTTTATTTTCTAATTCACTAAATACTCTAATCTGATACTGAATTATACATAAATGATTTAAACAGCATCATGACAGGCTATTACATCATTGTTGTATCATTAACAGATGAAGCTAAATATAATCGATGTGGTGACATTAAGTGCAGATATATCCAGACTTGTTCATTTTAATAAAATAAGATTATTGTCAACCTGATTTATTGATGTTGTTCATAGTTGAAACACTGATTAACCAATAACAGTACATGCAAGATGTATAGTAATGATTATTCTATTCTTAATATATGTAATTGAATTTTCTATTAAAGGAATAGCATTTTAAAAAAGATATACATTCACCAAAAGTGACAAGACACAAAGCTACCTATGACTATAATATTTTTAAATTATAAAATATGTAAAAATCTCAAAACAGTGCTCTGCTTACCATTTACCGGCAATAAAACATGAAAAATGACTTTACATGCAGGATGTGACTACAGTAAAGTTGATTAGCCTCCATTATTCACTGCAGGTTAAAGGAAGTATGACTTTCTTCATTTTTTTTTTTCGTCTCTTTACACAGGAAGTAAAGGTTAACGAACTGCAAACACAGCTTTTCCTTTACCCACAAGGACACTGAAACACAAGCAGCCATGAGAACATGACATTGGACACATGCTTCAAATTACCACGAGTCAAAACGTCACACACACACACACACACACACACACACACACACACACACACACACACACACACACACACACACATATATATATATATATATATATAACTGCTGCGGCTAACAATTCACTAACTGGCTGAAGTCCTGCTGT